TTTTGGTATGTATTATTTAATGACTTTGACAACCTTCTTGGCACAAAGCAATATTTTTAAAAAATACCTTCCTTAACCAGCTTTTTTTTTTTATAAGAGAAGGAGGAATATACTTTTCAGACTAGCGTCCCTTAATTCAGAAAAATTAAAAGAAAATTTAAAAAAAAGACCAAAAATAAATCTTATGACCATTCATGTGAACACAATGGCTTGGTAATAATTTGATGTAGGCTTCTTTTTCCTTACACTCCATGTATTTTTTAAATAATAGTTGCATGTTGCATTATATATAATAACGTGAGCATTTTCCCATATTGTCAGCAACTCATTATTAAAATTCTTTTTTTATATATAAATCTTACTTTATTTTATTTTTCTAATGGAGGTACTGGAGATTGAACCCAGGACCTCGTGCACGCTAAGCACACACTCTACCACTGAGCTATATCCCCCATTGTTGTCATTCTTACTGACTGCTAATGTATGAATTGCATTCCTTATTTTGCTGGATACAATTTAGCTACTGATTCCCTGGTTAATAGATATTTAGGTTTTAAAATGTCTGATTTATAAATATTCTCTCTCTCTTTCTCCCCTTTTTCCCCCCCTTTAACTCGTGCAGCTCCAGAGTCCTGATGAAGGCTTTGAAGGCAAATCTCTCTTTGAGAGCTGGAATGAAAAAGACCCTTCTCCTGAATTCAGTGGCTGGCCCAGGTAAACAATCAAAACTTCCTGCTAAAGTCAGTATGTATGGGATCATGTTGAAAATAAAAGGGTCTTTTATTTCAATAAATAATAAAACTTGAATTAAAAGTTCTCTAACCTCTGATAAAGAAAAAGCACTGCTTAGGTTGACAAATACAGTTGTTACCAGAAAACTAGGTTAGCCTCTTGGTGGGTGTCGAGCCAGAAGACATGGCCAAGCCCAAGACGGGGAGGAAGAAGGATTTATTACTTGCAGCAAGTAAGGAGAGCACTGGGGATCATTCCCAAACCAGTGTCTCTCAGAACAGCAAAACTGGGGAAGTTTTGAGCTAAGGGTACGTGCATGTTCATGAGGGGCTTGAGCGAAAAATTCATAATAAAATTGGGGCAAAGTTTGACAGAGTCTTAAGCGTTGGTTGATTGAAGTCAGGAAAGGGCAACGTCAACTTTCCTTCGGTTCCCATTGGTCTGGTGGTTGAGCAGTCTAGGGGGTTTGAATTCTGCAGAACAGCTCAAGAATGGGCTTTGGGCTCATCCTTACCCTTGTAACAGAAAGGGGAGTCCGTACAACTGCGTTACTGTGTTTGCTGTTGTTACTTCTCTTGCCTGATGCAGTCATGTGTTCCTAAATTCTCTTGTCCCCTTAAGATCATTAATTACCGAGACCTGTTCAAAGCCGAGCATTTATCACAAAATGGCACAGGCCAAAAATGACTTCTCTTTTTCCATTGTTAGAAATTGTTTAATTTTTAAATTTAAAACGTTTTTATTATTTTTTTAATTGAAGTGTAGTTGATTTACAATGTTGTGTTAGTTTCAGGTATACAGCACAGTGATTCAGTTATACATATATATGTTCTTTTTCAGATTCTTTTCTATTATAGGTTATTCAAGATACTGAATATAGCTCCCTGTGCTGTACAGTAGGTTCTTGTTGTTTATATATTTTATATATAGTGGTGTGTAAATGAAAAAAATGGCTTCTCTTATGTCAAGAAAGCCAGGCCTGGTTCTTTCTTTTTCTCCAGGGAACCTCTACCCTATCTGCTTAGAAAATATTGTTATGTTCTTTGAGGTTAAATCTGTAAGCCATCAAACTATGTTTCTCTTTTGAATAAGTAGTATATATGTGTGGCTCTAGGTCTGTCTTCTGGTCAATTTATAAATTTTTTTTCTGAACATCATACAGTTAACAAATATTTATATATGTGTAACTGAATCCCTTTGCTGTACACCTGAAA